TTGTTGTTTTTTTATTTTTTATTTTCTCCATCATTTTCTGCTGTCTTCTTCCTGCCAGTGGGGGACCCCGTGAGTCGTTGGTGGGCTTTGGTCCTGAAGGCTGCCGTGCATTGGCTGCAGGGCGATGATGTCGCAGTAAGGTCACTGTTGGCAGAGGCAGAACGGATGCCGAGGGCTCTACACACTCTTGAGTAAGTGAAGTAAAACCTGTTTCAGTACGTCTAAATAGGACAAAACATGAACTGGACAGATAGATTCACGCTACAGGAATCTTTTAAGCTGTAAAAATCTGATACATTTAAGATAATCTCCAACAATTCAACAGGGAAGTCTAACTCTAATCTAATCTCTTAACTCCTAACATCTAAAATAAATTAAACTGAAAGATGTTAATAAAAACAATCACACATTCATCTCTGTTTAAAAGAAACCACAGTAACTGTCCTCTCTGTCCCTCTCTCACCTCTCTGCTTCAGCCACCCTCTGCCCAAAGCTGTGCTGCTGCTTTGCAAGACAGTTCAGATGAGTCTTTCCCCTCTGAAGGGAGAGGGGGCGGTAGCCTGCCTGTCTCACTGCGACAGAGCCAGCAGCTACCTGCGCTCCAGCATCTCGGTGCCCCTTGCCCAGTCTGGGAACTGGCTGAACAAGGTAGTGTACACAGCACTCCAAACGCAGGCATCATTTTGTCCTTAAGATCTGCTCTGGGCTTGTGATTGTTACGTAATCTTGTCTGCTGTCTTGCACACACACAGAGATGAAGTTAATGCATTCAGGGTTACATCATACATACACACAGACACACACACACGGCATGCTCAGTGGTGGTCAGGCAGGCTGACGCGGGGCTGTGTGTGTGTGCGCAGTGTGGGTGGCAGGAGGTGGCTGTGGTGCATTGTAGTTGCATTGCATGATCCTGAATCCGAGTGCAATGTGTCTGCAGTGCAGTACAGAGGCCTCCCCAATCTGCACGCACCCGCTACACACCCCAACACTCCACCTTCACTGAATATCATGTCATTTTTAATTTCTGGCGTGCATGGTGGGCGAGATGCACTGGTAATGATGGTGGCTTGGTGCCTTGTGGTTGGCATATTACGAAATGCACCTTGTAAAAATATAAATCAACCAAAATGTACAATAACTTGCAAGCTTTAAATATATTGTCTTTTCAAACAATCCATCTTATGTAAATGCACCAAACAGCACATTGATCTTTGTCTTCTTTCTCTTCCAAGGGGGTGGAGCTCCTGGTCTGTGACCTTCTGCTGACCTTGAGGACTAGTTTATGGCAGCGGGGAGGCAGCAGTAATGGGGAACCTGGCCTGGCACCTGGATCCCAGTTGGCGGGTTTCCAGAGGGACCTCAGCGCGCTCAGAAAGCTCACACAGTGCTACAGACAGGCACAACACAAGGTACATCCACAACTAGATAAAGTCAGATCATTTTAAAGTCAAAAGTCGCAGGAAACAGGTAGGGTCAGATGGAGCAACAACATTGAAACCTACGTTCTGGTTGTTTTCCTGAAGTGTCTGGGGAGTATCATAGGTGGACAATCTTGTAGCAGGTACTGACAAACTTAGGTCAAGTAATGTTTGTAAATTTGCAAATGCATGATGCTTTATTTTATCCTACATTCTGTTGTGAGCACATAATGTACAACAAGAGCCAGGCACTTGTAAATAAGTGCCAGGGATCAGGGATTCATCAGTCTGATCTTGACTGTGGTGTATTTCCTGTGAGGGGCAACATGGCAAAAAATTAACGTGTAGATTCATATTCATTTATTGCTAATTCAGCTCTTCAAATCTCACAAATATGAAGAAATTCCAATAATAAGTTGTTAAAGCCCAAATGGATGGCTTAGAATTAGCCTTCATTGTCTGGCTTTCTGCAAAAGAATGAACAAATAATCCCTTTTATAATGGTATAACACTCATAACAACCTCAGTATGTTGCTGGCATGTCATAGCTCTTGTGTTAATAAAAAACTGAGCCAGCCTGCAAGCCTGTAAATCATCTGGAACCTCCTTATCTTGTTCACGATAATACCACATTTACTGTATCAGCCTTGGAAATCGGGTTCTCTCCCACTCTTAGCAGCTGCAGAAATCTCACCGCAGATTAACGTATCATCAATCATACTCGTAAGAATTAGTGTAGTAGTCATTACTGTTGCCAGGGGGTCTTCAACAGCTACAGCTTTCACAGTGGTCGTTGATCATTTGTTATGATTTGACTTGTGCAAGACTCTAAGAACCCCATGAACTGCATTATTTTATGAGGTTCTGTTGTGAGACGGTAATGGAGGATTATTCACTCAAGATGCTGTGTGCCACATTGCAAGAAAGATAGAATGTTTCTTGTATATATCCCCCAGTAGTACAGAAATGATGTGAGGAGATCAGTGTTTTTCTGCCCCAACACTCACAAACACCTGCAAATACTTGACGGTGACAATAATTGTGGCTCTGATGTGTGTTTTTCTTCCTGCAGGTGTTTCTCCATGAGACCACAGTGAGGCTGATGGCTGGAGCCAGTCCCACAAGGACACACCAGCTGCTGGAGCACAACCTCCGACGCAGGACGCACAGCTCCTACACAGCCGGTAAGTAACTCATTTTTACACGTTGATTTAAGCAGAGACATCACATACACACACACACACACACACACACACACACACACACAGACATCACACACACACACACACACAAACTGTGGAAGAGTGGAAGTTCACCTTGACTACTGGCTCAGGACCAGTTCCCCGGTGGTTGTTCTTACACTTAACTATTCAAACACTTACTTGAAACACTCTTAGAGGGCAACATGACCCTGTATTCACACACACACACACACACACACACACATACCAGCAGGCAATGGACTCTAATCGGCACGTTTCTTCTTCTTTTCTTCTTCCCCCCCCTGCTGTCAGAAGGTGAGTGTGTCCTGGGTGAGCGAGAGAGGGCTCATGCAATCCTGCTGGCCTGCCGCCACCTGCCCATGCCTCTACTAACCCCGCCCGGGCACCGTGCCCGCCTGCTGGCCGAGGCCAAGCGCACCCTGGAGCGGGTGGGAGACCGTCGGTCCCTGCAGGACTGTCAACAGCTTGCGCGCTCCCAGCGGGGGCACGACCATCGCTGGCCTCCTGAAGACGGCACCACAGCAGAGAACAAAACACACACCTACCAAAACACACTACCAGAAAAAACACAACACCAGATTCAGGGCTATCACAGTACAGACAAGCAAGGCAATTGCTGTAGCATACATACAAGATGTAAACCAGGCTACTCAACGCACCAACCACAATGGAAATTCTATAATTGTCACTCCATTCACACACCCTCACAACTGATCCAGGGCCAAGACTTTTTCTTCAAACTGCCTAACCGCTTTCTGAATCCTCTCCTCTCTCTCCTCACGAGCACACACAACACACAGCAACACAGCACACACCACACAGCACGACAGCTGATTTTTACTGTCAACAGCTACATCGTAACTCTCAGCCCTATTAAATCCACCCGGCAGCTGGCTGGGCAAATTTGCTCTATTGATGCTTAGTTTCATGTT